AGTCCAACCAATCAGCTTCGGCCGAAATAGCCTAACGGCGAAGAGGCCAGTAATCCTCAACAACCTCACCTCTGCCTCCGCCAGCCTTCGCTGTGATCGGACCTCTCTCCAAACCCCTCACCGCCAAAGCAGCCAGCCTTGTTTCTACAGATTACAGATTGCCCACGAGGGGGTTAGTTTATTGGGCACCCCCTTACATCCTGTGCAAGGTGAAGCGCAGAAGCGTTTACAGTGCCCAACTGGGAAGCATGCGGAGTTCATGCTTGCCCTTATGACTCATGCATTAAGGGCGTAAAGGCCTGAAGGGTCATGGGTTTTGTCAGCAAGTTACATAAAGTGACAGAATGATGAGTGTGTGGGGGGGACAATTCCCGGTACAATTTATCTGTTTATGGCAAAGTGTGCAGGTCCCTAATAACGTCAAGTGCCAGGCCTGTCACTAGGAGGAGGGATATCTGGTCAGGGAGGGAAGAGGTGTCGGTAACAGCTGGGGACCTGTAGGAGGAAGTCATAGGGCAAATGAGGATGTGGTGAAAGAGGGTGTGAGAGTCTGTTGACCACAAAGTTTACAAACAGTGCGGCCAGGCTCAGGGTTGCCAATGTACTAGGCGTGGCGAAGTACAGTGGGGGTGGAGGTGATATGGTGTGGTGGGGCAGGTACTGGGCACGTCTGTTCCCTTATGTAGTCACGCCACAACTGGTTGTTTCTACTGTTGACGACCGGACCACAACTTGACCTCTCTGATTATCACTGGACGTCCCAGGAATCCTGTTTGGGCAAGGCCCTTTGTGGGCCTCCACCTTTGAAAAACGACCACGAGTCACCGGACTACCTCACAAGCGTGCAGGACTGTCAACCCTAGCTAGTCCTCCCCACGGCAGAGTGGTGACCCACACTCCTGCTGGAGGGCAGCTACTGATTGGCACTACTGACGTGGTTTGGGGTCTTTCTCTCTTGCTGAAATCCTTCCTTACTTACCCTGGCCGAGGCACCGGCTTATATTTAAATATTCGTGCTAGAGCCCCTCCAGTGGAGCACACCTCACAGTAGGTGGGATTGTGTGTGTCCGTTGGAGATCGGGGAACACAGGCCAATCCGGCAGAGACCCTAGAGACAACATTCATCTCATAACATCCGTTGTTGGTCTACTGCAAGGGATAAGACGACAAGACCGGTAAGTTGTCATTAACTGGGTCCCCAGTCATATCGGAATCCCAGGGAATGACGAGCTGATGCTGCTGCCAAGGCTGCGTTAGGACATCCGCCCAGTCAGGAGCAGATAAAGAAGACCACGATAACACGAACTGCCCAGTGGAAAATAAACAAACATAGAAGATTAACACCAGTATCACGATCGGCCAGGTGGTACTATCTGGTCACGAATTATGAGAGACCACCACTCATGAAGGATATAACAAGAAGGGAAGAAGCCAACTTCCACCGACAGACTGGGATACCCATGCATATGGGAAATCATTGTACAAGTACCTAGAGCAGCTGTGCAAGACCTGCACAGCAGACAGAAAACTCACTGTAGCACTACCTCATAAGTGCCCTGAAACACAATTAGCTAGGAGAAACATACAACCCCTATCACAGCAGAGAAGGTTGCCAAAATGCTAACCACTAACCACTCTCAAGAAACTCTACAGTTTCTAACCGAGCATCCCACGCTAATTGGTGGAGATGCACTTGTACAGTTAACTAAAAAGATGTTGGTGTCTTATCCCAGCTGTGGGTGGACCAGCATTTTGACTTAAGGTCCGCGAGTAATATTCCTACAAATCCTTAAAAAAAAAAAAAACTGCCAACGCAATACCGAAAATCGGGAATGGGACAACTGGCCGCCGCCATCTGGCCGCAGCCCAACTGGCCGCGGGAAACTCGCCGCGGCGACGCTGCCGCCGCGGACTGGGGTAAACTGCAAACGCCTATTTTTGGTTAGGTTAGGTTAGGTTAGGTTTGGTTAGGTTAGGTTAGGTTGTCAACAAAAAGTTCCATATGGCGGCCAGTCGGCCGCGGCGAGTTCCGCGGCCAGTTGGGCTGCGGCCAGATGGCGGCGGCCAGTTGTCCTAGACCCCGAAAATCAACCAGTACGAAAAAAAGCGGAAGATAAAAACCAACACCAACAATTTCAAAATAATACCAATCGCCAAAAGGAAAAAAGACTCCATTATAGTAGATAACAAAGTAGTTCCATATGCCATGGAAGGCACTGTCCTAGGGCTGAAGATAACAACAAAAGGCTACAAAACATTCATCACCGAAAAACTAGCAAAATTCAGAAACATGGTAATTAAATTAAAACGCTTCAGAAACCTGTCAGCAAAAAACAAGTTAAAGTTATATAGAGCCTATGTCCAACCCCGACTAGTATATCCACCAATTCCCCTACATGCAATAAAACAAACAATCATAAAGAAACTGCAGACAATTCAAAACTTAGCCCTAAGGGATGTATACAACATCATGTACCCTGACATAGTCACCAACCGTCAACTACACCAACGAGCGCAAATAGAACCCCTGAATGTTTACCTACACCAACACTCAAAAAGAATATGGACAAAGTTAGAAGAAATAGAGCCAGGACCAATCACAGAATGGATGGAAGAGACAGAAGAAGGAAGAAGAGAACACTCGTGGTTCCCTCGCAGTAAAAGAAGAGCCCTAGAACCCACACCAACTCCTTTCTATTGAAAGATGCAACGTTACCCCAGTGACAACCTTGGCAGCCCTACCACTTACAACATTAGATCATAAAAAGACGGGATGTTCTTAGCAGAAACACAAGTACCTGCCATAGACTCCCCGCCATTGGCTAGGAAACAAGACACGAAAATATAAGGCATAAGCTGCAACACTTGCTAAACATACAAACACCAAACATAAATATAACACTTACGACTAAAATTAGATGAAACACAAACATGAAACATCAGAAGCACTTGGGTTGAGCCCCAAGTCCTATCTTCCTCCTACTATTTATCAATTTCCTCGCTTTTCTTCTTGCACTATCCACCAACCCCAAGTCCCTCCAAAGTCCACCATCATTCTTCAAGTCCAGTTCCCGCACCACCCATCTACACACCAGCATCAAGATATCTTCACACTTTATTTCACCCATCGCTTCGATTCGATTCGTGAAGATCCGACTACTTCACTCTCTCAAGCAAACAAGACCTCACAAGAAGTTCCCCCACAACTCAGCAACACTCCTGTATCTTACTGCACTGTACATACAATATATGGAAAGAGAACGTTATTGTGAGTTTCCTTTCTCACCTCCATCCTGAGTGCGAGATCTCCTCTATGTACAGTCAGCCAAAGATCCAGCGACCCCACCCTGAGTCTCTTACTGGCAATTTTACCTGGCATTAAACTATTCATTGTTATTTAAGATCATGAGAAGTTTCCAAATGTTCTTATATTTGCTTAAATAATGAAGAAAATTTGATCTGAGAATTTTGTGACAGTCCTCGCTATAGTTGAGTTGCCAATTCATTAATATAATTTCTACATTATCTAACCAAATATGCGAACTTTTGGAAACTTCTCATGATCTTAAATAACAATGAATAGTTTATTATTATAAAAATTCTACCTTTGGATTGTTTAATATTTATCCTTACAGTGATGCAGCCGAAAATCACAATCACCTTTACATACAGCCATACTTTACCAGGTATTGCCAGGTAAATATGTCAGTAAGAGACTCAGGGTGGGGTCGCTGGAGCTTATGCTGACTGTACATGTGTGTGTGAGCCTAACGAAGAGAAGGTTGACACATAAAGAGAAATTTGACAACTGGCCACATATACTACGCTACAGTACGATCGGTTGTTGCGCTGATAAACATATTTCTTGTTGATTGATTGATACAAAAAAAAAAACATCTCAAAGGGATAAAGTGACATAATTCATCCCCACCCCAGTCCCGGGAATGTCCCTCTCAGGACTCGCATAAATATTTCTTGTTCACTGTCAGTTTACCGTCACATTTTGAACACATCCACGTCCTCCCAACTAGTCCGACAAATGAACTCTTAGTGACAGTCTTCATCCTCCACAAGCACAGATAACTTGCGATACGATAACAATACAGTGTGGCTTTCGTCTCCCTAAACCCTCCTCCTCTAGGTAGAACAATAAGTACACGAACACACAGTTTACTTACAATCCAATGCTACTCGAAGGAAATCAGAAAATGTATCCAAACCCATAACATGTTTTAATATTTCCTTTGATTTTAATTTGATTGACGACTTTTTGTATTACATTTTTTTTTATAGAGAAATTAATTGATGTTTTGGTATCCTTACAGAACCACGAATATTAATTGAAAGAAAAAGATGAAATAAGATATAAACAAAGCGATGAGAGACGGTGTACGGGGCACCTCAAACATCTTAACCTCCAAACATCTAAATATTTGAACATCTAGAAACATAATAATCGACATATATAAACATCTATGCTTCTAAACAATAAACATTTAAACATCTAAACATCGAAGCTCCTAAAACATGTTAACGTTAATACTAAAACTATGAATAGCGGGAACCTTCATATACCAAAATATATTTTTCTTGAATGTCAGAGAAAGTTACAAAACGTGTTTAACCAAAACTTGTTCACCAGACCGGGATGTTTTGCTCCCTTACGCCTGCAAAAAGATAAAACTGACCTCAGGCCGTGTACACAGTGAAACCTCTATTAAACGGACAACATGGAGAGGAAAATCCGTTATATCGAGGGACCATTAGGTGTAAAACCTCCATCTAACGGATTATATGAAGAGAGAATTCCGGTATATGAAGGTTTTACTTAAGAACTTCATACTACAGAGAAACTCATCCTGAACTGTCGTGTTTGTGGCAACTTGATGTTAATGGTAACTTATAAATAATTTTTCTCAATATTTTCCACATAAATTATTCCTTATTTTTCTATACATTATAGTAAAACACTATAACATAAGGGGAGAAAAAAAATGAAGTTGTATGTGAAGTATTTAATTAAAAAAGTATAAAGTAGACCACACAGTCCAAAAACAGACAATATATACAATTGGTGTATAAATATTGGTCAAACAACATGGCAAGGACTGAGACAACATCAAAACATCAACAAATGAATGACTCGTGAGTGGACACTACAGGAGGGTAGACAACACGCTCCCGGCACCACTAACCGAGGCGGGTGTCAACAATAAAAATAAACAAAAGGAAACATACAAGTAAAAATACGTCTTATAGATCATCGAAAATACCATAAAAAAACTATCTTGGTAGTTTATATTCATTGGCGTCTCAAAATACAGGAGTTAGGTTGTGTACTGGAGATGCTAAGCGCTGTTGCCTTAGTGTAAACAACCTAGATATCTTAACACAAGGAGTCAAGGTAATTTAACGAAGGCTGGTGAAACTTGTAAGACTTATTCCTTAAATATAAGAACTGTTGGTGATAAGAAAACAACAAAGAAATAAAAAAATAAAAAAGATGGCCTCCACATGAGACTAGATTCCTTTATTCTCTTTATGAAATAGTGTTTAAATCTGTAAAGGTCACTATAGACTCTTGAGTTTCTTAATGGAGGTTTCAATACTAAACAGGTGACAGATCCCAATATTTGAAGGATGAGAATATTTGTCCGGATCTAAGTAGTCTGTTTTTACATCTTGTTTATGATCAACTGTATACGGTAAAGCAGGTGTTTGTTTACCAATAACGACTCAAGAGTATATAAGTAAAAACAAACTCTTTTCACTGGTGCAGGAGTATCAACAAATGACTATCTCAAACTATAATTAATGTTGAATAGTTACGACATTATTCACTCCCATACAATAACCAGAATGTATTTATACAAGATGTTGAGGATATTCACTAATTTACTCAGGTTATTCGTTAAGTTATTCATGTTATTCACTCATGATGATCTTCATTTAATGAGTATCAGAGGATGACTAGTGAAGAGAATTTTGGTGAGAAGCTAAACAAAGTCCTTCTCTCTCCCCTAAGACGATAAACAAGACTTTAAGGAATCTAGGAAATAGCCTCTGGGTTTGTGAGAATCAATCTACCATAAAAGGCAAACACCTACTCGACCTACTGTATGATGATATAGATAGATGTTCGACCTACTATATGATGATATAGAAAGATAGTCGACCTATTGTACAGCGAAAAAATGTTTCCTAACCAGTAATTTCATGAGACAGTAATTCACTAGACAGTTACTTTCACATCAGACGACAGGACCACTTGAATCAGCTAGCGCTAAAACTCGACTCTAGCTCTAAACCTTCTCGCCCCACTGGTCGTCAGCAAAAAGATCAGCAAATGAGGGAAAGTTGAAGTCTTCATTAAGGAAAGACTCGTAGGGGCCGGTGTTCGTGGTTGTTCCCTCAGAAGGTGATCTATAGCTGCTGGATGGGGCAGGTGGGGCACCATAGCTTTGTGATGGGGCAGGAGCTGGGGCAGGCGGGGCACCGTAGCTTTGTGATGGGGCAGGTGGGGCACCATAGCTCTGTGATGGGGCAGGAGCTGGGGCAGGCGGGCACCGTAGCTTTGTGATGGGCAGGTGGGGCACCATAGCTTTGCGATGGGGCAGGGGCTGGGGCAGGCGGGGCACCATAGCTCTGCGATGGGGCAGGGGCTGGGGCAGGCGGGGAACCATAGCTCTGTGATGGGGCAGGTGGGGCACCATAGCTTTGTGATGGGGCAGGGAGGAGAGAACCATAACTCTGTGATGGGGCAGGCGGGCACACCATAGCTCTGTGATGGGGCAGGAGCTGGGGCAGGCGGGGCACCATAGCTCTGCGATGGGGCAGGAGCTGGGGCAGGCGGGGCACCATGGCTCTGTGATGGAGCAGGAGCCAGATGGGGCACCATAGCTCTGTGATGGGGCAGGAGCTGGGCAGATGGGGCACCATAGCTGTGATGGGGCAGGAGCTGGGGCAGGTGGGGCACCATAGCTTTGTGATGGGGCAGGGGCTGGGGCAGATGGGGCAGTTCTGTGATGGGCACCATAGCTTTGTGATGGGGCAGGAGCTGGGGCAGATGGGGCACCATAGCTCTGTGATGGGGCAGGGGCTGGGGCAGATGGGGCACCATAGCTCTGTGATGGGGCAGGAGGAGCACCATGGCTCTGTGATGGGGCAGGAGCTGGGGCAGATGGGGCACCATAGCTCTGTGATGGGGCAGGAGCTGGGGCAGATGGGGCACCATAGCTTTGTGATGGGGCAGGAGCTGGGGCAGAGTATGAGGTGATGGGGCAGGTGGGGAACCATGGCTCTGTGATGGGGCAGGAGGATGCTGTGATGGGGCAGGAGCTGGGGCAGAGTATGAAGGTGATGGGGCAGGGCAGATGGGGCCCCATGGCTTGGTGATGGAGCAGGGGCAGATGGGGCACCATAGCTTGGTGATGGGGCAGGGGCTGGGGCAGATGGGGCACCAGCTCTGTGATGGGGCAGGAGCTGGGGCAGAGTATGAAGGTGATGGGGCAGGGCAGATGGGGCACCATGGCTTGGTGATGGGCAGGGGCAGATGGGGCACCATAGCTTGGTGATGGGGCAGGAGCAGATGGGACATATGGGGCAGGGGCAGATGCACCATGATGGGGCAGGGCAGCAGCCATAAGCCTCGGTAGGGATGGCTGCGTCAGTGTCGAGAGGCAGAGGAGCGGATACTGGTGGTCTGTAGCTCTGTCCAACACCCGCAGACGAAGATGGGGCAGAGTATGAAGGTGATGGGGCAGGGGATGGGGCAGAGTATGAAGGTGATGGGGCAGGGATGGGGCAGAGTATGAAGGTGATGGGGCAGGGCTGGGGCAGAGTATGAAGGTGATGGGGCAGGGGCTGGGGCAGAGTATGAAGGTGATGGGGCAGGGGTGATGGGGCAGGGGCTGGGGCAGAGTATGAAGGTGATGGGGCAGGAGATGGGGCAGAGTATGAAGGTGATGGGGCAGGGGCTGGGGCAGAGTATGAAGGTGATGGGGCAGGGGCTGGGGCAGAGTATGAAGGTGATGGGGCAGAGGAGGTGATGGGGCAGGAGATGGGGCAGAGTATGAAGGTGATGGGGCAGGAGATGGGGCAGAGTATGAAGGTGATGGGGCAGGGCTGGGGCAGAGTATGAAGGTGATGGGGCAGGAGATGGGGCAGAGTATGAAGGTGATGGGGCAGGGCTGGGGCAGAGTATGGGATGCAGGAGATGATGAAGGTGATGGGGCAGGGCTGGGGCAGAGTATGAAGGTGATGGGGCAGGGGCTGGGGCAGAGTATGAAGGTGATGGGGCAGGAGATGGAGAGTATGAAGGTGATGGGGCAGGGGCTGGGGCAGAGTATGAAGGTGATGGGGCAGGGGCTGGGGCAGAGTATGAAGGTGATGGGGCAGAGTATGAAGGTGATGGGGCAGGGCTGGGGCAGAGTATGGGTGATGGGGCAGGGGCTGGGGCAGAGTATGAAGGTGATGGGCAGGGGCTGGGGCAGAGTATGAAGGTGATGGGGCAGGGGCTGGGGCAGAGTATGAAGGTGATGGGGCAGGGAGCCTGAGAAGCCATATGAAGCGGTAAACTCCTCAAAGGAAGGGAAGGGCGGGAAGACTGGCTCATATGTGGAGTCCCCTTTAGAGGACCGTAGCCACTGTCACCACTGGAGCCTCCTGAGGATCCCCCACCCCCCCACCCCACCACTGGAGCCTCCTGACCCACCTGGAGCCTCCCCCCCCCACCAACCCTGGAGCCTCCCGAGGAAAGTCCCCACTGGAGCCACCTGAGGATCCCCCCACTGGAAACCCCCACCACTGGAGCCTCCTGAGGATCCCCCATAACCCCCACCACTGGAGCCTCCTGAGGATCCCCCATAACCCCCACCACTGGAGCCTCCTGAGGATCCCCCATAACCACCTGAGGATTCTTCGACAACGCTAGAAGACTTCGGTGGACCGTACCCTATGGAAGGCGCTTCAGGTGCTCCATAACTAGTGCTTGGGGCGGCTGGAGGCGGACCATAGCCTGAACTTGGTGCCTTTGGAGGAGGACCATAGCTGGGACTTGGTGCCTTTGGAGGAGGACCATAACTAGGACTTGGAGCTTTGGAGGCGGACCATAACTGGGACTTGGTGCCTTTGGAGGAGGACCATAACTGGGACTTGGTGCCTTTGGAGGAGGACCATAACTAGGACTTGGTGCCTTTGGAGGAGGACCATAACTTGGACTTGGTGCCTTTGGAGGAGGACCATAACTGGGACTTGGTGCCTTTGGAGGAGGACCATAACTGGGACTTGGTGCCTTTGGAGGAGGACCATAACTGGGACTTGGTGCCTTTGGAGGAGGACCATAGCTGGGACGTGGAGCCTTTGGAGGAGGACCATAGCTGGGACGTGGAGCCTTTGGAGGAGGACCATAGCTGGGACGTGGAGCCTTTGGAGGAGGACCATAGCTGGGACGTGGAGCCTTTGGAGGAGGACCATAGCTCGGCTTAGGCTTATGAGGACGTGGTTTTCCTCCATTAGGTTTGTTGTGAGGTCTCCTGGGAGGTCGGTATTGAGGCCGCGGTGGAGGTCTAATTGGATACCTGGGAGGTGGCCTTGGGCGGGACTCCTCTGATAGGTCAAGACACACCACCAGCACCAGGATCACCACCAACCACATCTGGAATAATAAATGATCAATAATCTTCACCTGGGGATCATCTTTCGTGTCCCATAAACCTCCTCTCTTTCAACTCAAATACACTTAAATTTATCTTCCCTACTGTCCCTCTCCTCCCACTCACATCTAAACACAATACTCACCATTTATTTTATTCTCATCTATTTTCATCTATATGTCTACCCAGACCAACGAGTTCCATCTTTCCACTCACACATATATTTTCCTTTAGTTACCCCTTGATATTTACTCGTATATTCTGTTTTCTCTGTTCTCACCCTCCCGCCATCACTCATCTAACCCCTGTTGCTCCCATTTTTGTTTATTTTGCCGGGAAACATCTCAAACGTTCACATTTTCTTACTCACAGTCCCATATATCTTTTCTTCCCAACGCTGCTCACTCTAAATTCCTATTATATCTACTAATATCCAGAGTTATTCTTTTTTTTTTACTTATTAATTAGTCTTCTAGTAAGGAAAGGTTTGAGGCAGCTATTCATATTATTTCATCTTTTACCCTTGAGTAACCATGGACACAGAGAGAGAGAGAGAGAAAGAGAGAGAGAGAGAGAGAGAGAGAGAGAGAGAGTTAAGCCACATATCACAAGATCATTGGCCAGTGAACTAAAAACATGTGTTGTGCTCACCTACCAAACAAGTCACTCTATAATGATGAAGACAATGGTTATCCTTCACTGGTAATAAATTTTCCTCCCGTGTGAGCAGCCAGTGATGACATACCACTTTATAACTCCGTCCCCTCCGAGCGTGTGATGGACAGCCAGGGAATGACGTAGCGTTGTAGAACCGTGACGTAACGCAACAACGCAACTGATCTATAAGAATCCTCACCACACCCTTTGTCACTCCCTCTTCCGGGATGAAGCAGTTTACCTGGATACCTCACCATGTTATACACTATACATTACTTTACCTTAATTTGTTAAAAGTGTCTTGACTGGAACGCATCTAACTGGGACGAATCTAACTGGGACGCATCTAACTGGGACGAATCTAACTGGGACGCATCTAACTGGAACGAATCTAATTGGGACGCAACTAATTGGGACGCATCTAACTGGGACGCATCTAACTGGGACGAATCTAACTGGGACGAATCTAACTGGGACGAATCTAACTGGGACTGGGAATCTAACTGGGACGAATCTAACTGGGACGAATCTAACTGGGACGACTATCTAACTGGGACGGATCTAACTGGGACGAATCTAACTGGGACGCATCTAACTGGGACGAATCTAACTGGGACGCATCTAACTGGGGGACGCATCTAACTAACTGGGACATCTAACAACTGGGACGAATCTAACTGACGTATCGAACTGACGTATCTAACTGACGAATCTAACTGGGACGCATCTAACTGGGACGAATCTAACTGGGACGAATCTATCTGGGACGCATCTAACTGGGACGCATCTAACTGGAACGAATCTAACTGGGGACGCATCTAACTGGGACGCATCTAACCGGGACACACCTAACAGACTCGCTTAAGCTACGTCAAAGAGACAATAGTCAAAATGGTCCCTAAATCCCTCTGAGACGCTAACCTTATCTAAACACGTTCCCTTGAGCTCCAGTGAAGAGAAATGAGACTTAAAACGTATAAAGCCTCAAGACTCCGAACCCTGGTCATCCTAAAAGGCTCCAAGGCTCGTAAGATAATCTGTTACTGTAGTTTGAGGTCAGGACACTTTAACCCCATTAGAGTAGACTTTAACCCCATTAGAGTAGACTTTAACCCCATTAGAGCAGACTTAAACCTCATTAGAGTAGACTTTAACCCCATTAGGTTAGACTTAAACCCCCATTAGAGTAGACTTTAACCCCATTAGAGTAGACTTAAACCCCATTAGAGTAGACTTAAACCCCATTAGAGTAGACTTAAACCCCATTAGAGCAGACTTTAACCTCATTAGAGTAGACTTTAACCCCATTAGATTAGACTTTAACCCCATTAGAGTAGCCTTTAACCCCATTAGAGTAGACTTTAACCTCATTAGAGTAGACTTAAACCCCATTAGAGTAGACTTAAACCCCATTAGAGTAGACTTTAACCCCATTAGAGTAGACTTTAACCCCATTAGAGTAGACTTTAACCCCATTAGAGTAGACTTTAACCCCATTAGAGTAGACTTTAACCCCATTAGAGTAAACTTTAACCCCATTAGAGTAAACTTTAACCCCATTAGAGTAGACTTTAACCCCATTAGAGTAGACTTTAACCCCATTTTATCACCCTTACCTGCGCCGTCTTTGTTTTCTTACCTATAATTAGTGAAGGTTTGTTTACAATATATATGATCAAACACCGCAGACATTCCTCCCCTTTCTCTTCCCCAACTCCGTCTAAGCCCCCTCCCCATCTCCCGCCCCCACCACCCCCTTCTTCATCCCCGCCCCCAGCCCCCTTCCCTACCTCCATCCCCTTACCTCGCTTCCCCTTCCGCCTAACGATCGGCCGTCTAGCTCAAACTACCACATTATAAAAGGAGTAGTGAAAGCACTCAACCACACACTGCTGAATCATAGTAGAAAGTAAATGAGTGGGGGGGTGATGGGTGGGGGGTGTGATGGGTGGGGGGGGGTATTATAGATTCCCATACGGTGCTTAGGCTGGCGGGGGGGAGGGGAAGGGGACGTCTGGCAGTTCTTGGCTTAACCTGGTTATTAGTGAGTTAATGACACCTGTTCACACCTGAGCAGAGGAGGGAAAGGAGTGAGGATTGATGAGGAAGTGTGTGAGAAACAGCCAAACAGACTGATGGAAACTGAGACACAAGCATAAAGGAGGGACTGAGTGAGTGAGTGAGTGAGTG